CCCGGCGGGCCGCGGGGGCGGGAGAGGCCGAGCAGGGCGGCCACCAGCCCCTGAAGCGCCAGCCCCGTCTGCGAGGCCGTGCCGCCCAGGCCCCCCACGCTGTGCCGTGCCGACAGAAGGTACTCGGCAAGGGCATGGTGCCCGTCCTGCCGCGCCAGCCTGCCTGGGCACACACACGGTCAGGACAGGGTGCGGGGCACCCGCAGCACCCACCCTCTGCGCACCCAGATTTCTGCTGCACCCACCGAACTGTTGCCAATTATTTTTTTTAACTAAGAAGCACCCAAGTGCTTCGCTTGGACGTTTTGAAAAATGCAACTTTTCTCCTTTCCAGAGCCCGTTCTCAGGCTCAGCATCGTTGCAACGGGGGCATTTTGCATGAAGGTGGGTAGTGCAAGTGGACGTGCTCCCCCAATGTGCTGCTCATGCCCCCGAGTGGGGAGTGCAGCCCTGGCACCCTGCCGTGGGGTGAGGGGGCCCATGGGGTGCAGGGCTGTGTGGTGCAGGGCTGGGGGGTGCAGACCCCGCTCGGGAGCTGCGTGGGGGAGAGCAGGAGACCTTCGCTGCCCGGCTTGTGCGGCACTGCACGCACCCGCCGGCGCTGCCGCCCCTGCCTGCAGCCGCTCAGCCCCTCTGGGCATGTGCACTCCCTCTCCAGGCCTTGCATCCCCCTCCCTGGGACATGTGCACCCCCTAGGACATATGCACCCCCTCCATGGAGCATGTTCATCCCCCCTGGGACATGTGCATCCCCTCCCTGGGACACCTGCATCCCCCTGGGACATGAGCATCCCCCCTCGGCGCTCGGTCCAGGCCCCTGCAACTTTTCATCAGTGCAGTGTGGGTGACGCCCCCTGCACCGAGGGGCATTTTCCACTTTAGTGGAGGCACTGGAAGGGGGGAACCCACCGCAGGGTTGACGGGGCACATTAGAGCAGGTGTTGCCCGAGATAAACCCATTGCAGCCGAAGGGCCCCCCCTGCCTGGGAGCTGCTACTTACTGAAGTTGGCGATGTGGGCGCCCGTGTGAACGGCTGCCAGTGCCAGCACCACGTACCCCACGAGCTGGTGGAAAACAACGTGCTGGTCCAGCGGCAAAACCTTGGCAATGGGGGTAGCTCGCAGCCAGGTCAGGCACCTCCGCAGCATCAGCACCTCCGGGAGAGGGACAATCGGAGGTGCTGGGGGGGCAATTGGAGATGCCAGGGGACCCTGCCAGGGGCTGGTCCCCTGGGGCTCCAGAGCCAGCTCCCTGCTGACACGGGGTGTCAGCCCAGACAGCATCAAGAGGCACTCCTCTGCAGGTTGCACCCCATGAGTACCCTTGTTCCAGAGACCTCACAACCTCCCTAATCCATTATTTATATGTAATTATTTAAAGGAGGAGACAGCCTGGTCCCACAACTGCAAAAGTCCACAGGCTCCATTACTGCCCTCAAAAGATCCCCTGGCTCAGGGGTAAGGTCTCGGTGTAAATACGACTGTAAATAGCCCAGGTAACCATCACTCCATGCCCCCCGCGAGCTCAGAATCCCTCCTGCAGCCCAGGAGCCGGCACTCACTGCGAGGAAGGCGCAGTTGAAGTTCAGGCACTGCCCGCAGCCCCGGGCCACCGCCATCCATCCGCCGAGGCGGGCGTGCCGCAGGGCAGCCAGGGCAAAGAGCAGGAGGTTGAGGCCGGCGTAGCCCCCCAGGCAGGCGAGCTTGCTGCGGTGGTTGTGCCAGTACACCCGGGTCAGGTAGCGTGGCCGGCGGCTCCTCTCTGTGGGTGGCGGGGGCTTCAGCCAGCTTGCTGCACTGGGAGCAAAGGCATTGATTGCTCCTTGCCCGGAGAAAGGGGGAAGATGGGGCAGTCCTGCACCCATGCTGGCACCCATCCCTGCATCCGAGCCCTGCATCCAGTGTGGCATCATCCCTGCACCCAAGCCCTGCACCCATCCCAACACCATCCCTGCACCCATCCCTGCATCTGAGCACTGCACCCAGTGTGGCATCATCCTTGCACCCATCCCTGCATCTGAGCACTGCACCTATCCCAACACCATCCTTGCACTCATCCTACCACCTTTCCCTGCATCCAAAACCAGCACCCAGCTTGGCACCATCCCTGCACCTATCCCTGCATCCGAGCCCTGCACCCAGCTTGGCACCATAAGGCACCTGAGTTGCTCCCTGTGCTGGCCAAGCACCTTGTGGTCTGAGCACCCCACGAGAGCCTTAAGGAGAGCATAAATCCCATGCTTTTTCCCCCACGCAGGAGGAAAAAGGTGCTCACAAAGGAAAACTGTAGCCCCACGGGGCTGCCAGAGGGATCCACTGACACAGCTACCTGATGGTCAGGTTCTCCATGACCTCTGGGAAACCCTCCAGCTCCTCCTTGAGCTCCTCGAAGGTGATGGAGCCGCTGTGGTCCTTGTCAGCAGCCTCGAAGAGTGCCAGGGTGAGGTCTCCCAGACGCTCCTCGGGCAGGGCTATCGCACTCTCCCGCAGGCACCACCGCAGCACCACGCGCAGCTCGTCCGGGTCGATGGAGCCGCTGCCTGCGCGGGGTGAGCAGGCACCACGGCGGGTCAGAGCAGGGACCCTGATATGCCACAGCGCCCTGACAACCCCATGGTTTTACCTTCATCTTTACCTTTATCTTTAATGCAGAAATTGCCTCCCTTTAATGCAGAAATTGCCTCCCTTCCTTGTACACAGGCTCTTTGGGAGGAAACCGTGCCCAGCCAGAGCAGGACTGTGCCATTGTTCATAAATCAGTGAACTCAGGGATTTAAAAAAAAGGTGACCTAATCGGCAGTTTACCTGCAGCAGCCGCGTTGTCATTTGGCTGGCAGAGTTCAGTGCTAGCAAAGCGATGCAGACACGCTTATCTGGCAGCCAGGCATGAGAGCAAACCAGATAGGCAAGAGGCTCGGCTCTCAGTTCTTCGGCCAGCATTTTATGCCCAAGCGGGTCAGAGCAGGAAAAGCAGCTCAAGAAGAGCTTTGCTTTTGTTATTTCCAGCTTTCCCAGCCGATGGAGGAGGAAGAGAACATGCTGGGATTCACAAATATCAATGGGATTGAGAGTTGATATTTGAGTGGAGCGGAGGCTGCTCCTCTCCATGGCCAAGGGTGAAAGCGCTTCATGGGAAATCCTGACGTGTGGCCAGTTTAATTGCTGGCTTTCAGATGGATTTTTGATGCTTTCATCACGGGATGAAGGCAGTGATGTTATACCAGAGACATGCTTACCTGTAATGAAGATCCAGCAGTGAAGACCCACCTAGCCTGTTACCCCCTAAGAGGGGACGTGACACCAGTACTGAAGCCGAGCGGTGACACCCACACTTGGATGCTCGGAAGAGAGCCGTGCTGCCTTGAAAATCACAACTTGGTTCAAAAAAATACAAATTCATCTATTTTTCATCTTACCATCCACATCGTAAACTTGGAAGAGGAATCTCAGCTTGTCTGTCTCGTTCCCGTGTACGAGCAGGCTCAGGGCTTTCAGCAGCTCCTCCAAACTAATGGTCCCGCTCCCGTCCGAGTCGAACAGCACGAAGAACCTCTCGGCGAAGAAGGACTGCGGAGAGGGGGACAAATGCTCTCACACAGCGGTGGGATGCTCTCCACCAGACAAATCCTGATGCTACAAAGTTCTCACTGCCAGCAATGGGAATTGCCCGGCAAAAGCTGAAAGTCATGGGGATGGCCCAAAAACAGGAGGGAGGAATGAAGGCTGCTTTTTTGCAGGGGTGTATTGGCACTGCAGCCGGAGGGGCTGCCCGGGTGAGGGAGGGAGCCCTGGGGACCCGGGACAGGATGGGGCAGTAGGCAGCTGGGAGAGAATATTTGCTGGGAATAGCCAAGCGTGTTCAAAGACAGACTGTTGATGTCCAATCGATTTTGCATTGCAGATGGTTAATCCATGTTTTCCACCCCTGCTTGCTGCAGAGTACTGCTAGGTTTCTCTCTCCCTCCCTCACGCAATGTCATACAACTCTTTTTAAGCTTAATTTTCTCTAAGTACAATAAGAGACCACAGCTTGTTGTCAGGCTGCCGGTGCTGCCCGGAGGAAGGGACCCCGTGCCCCAGCCCCCCGCGGGAGCACTCACCTCCTTCACTTGGAGAGCAGTTTTGAACTCTTCCAAGTCAATTTCTTTGTCCTCCCCCGCGATGCTCCCAAACTGCTTTGTCACCCACTGCAGCCACTCGGCATCCTCGGCCGTGCTCATGGTGCAGGAACCTGCAGGAGGGCACAGCGCAGGATGGGCAGCAGCCTCTAGTAACCCCCTGTAGCCTTCAAAATCTGCTTTTTTACTGTTCCTGACGTGCTTTCACCACCCACAGACTCCCTGCGGCCCCGTGCTGCAGAGCAAAGGGGCAGCTGCTCTCTGCCCAGCTCTCTGGGGCAGGATGGGGCATCCCTCACCCCTGGCCCCGAAATGGGTCCCGCAGCAGCTGTGCCACCACCCTGGGGTGAGCCGGGACTCCGGCAGCCACAATGGCTGTGGCGATGATACACGTCTGAGGAGCGTGTGGGCGCTGTGTCACACGCAACCCCCAATTTCCATGTACCGAAGAAGTGAGCTGCTGAGTCCTATTTGTACCTGCCACGATACTGATCACCACTGCGAAGGTGCTGGAGGTGACATTAGTACTAATAAGGGGTAACTCCTTCCTTCTTGACCTGTCCTCCCAAGGCAAGTCAAAAGATGCAGCTGTTTGAGCCACTCTGTGCCTGCACGCCCCGTGTGAGACTCTAGGTTGCTTTTATGGACCTGAATTACCAAGCACCAACACACGAGATGATAAGAGCTAATGCATTTGCAGAGAGAGGAGTCGGGCTGCCCCTGCGAAGCATTTGGCACCTCCCTGGTCTTGCTTTGCCCTTGCAGGAGCAGACATCCCCACAGGGGCTGTGCAGCTGTTGGCCAAAAGAGAGAAATAACACCCCCCCAAAAAAAAATCTGCAGCTGCGTATACTGCATGAGGACCACAGGGCTCACAGGGCCACCACGGCCTGCCAGCCACGGCAGGAGCAGAGCATCCTTAGGGGGGTCAGCCCATGGCCTGGCTTCGTGTGCCCACTCCTCTCCTGGAGACAGAGCTCACGGCTCAGCCCCAAAGGGGCTGCAGAGGAAGGAAGGTTTCCTGCTTCGCTCCCTGGCAGTCCTGTGCAGTCTCCTGCTCTTTCATCTCCTGCTCTCAAGCCTCTGTAGCTCGTCCGTCAGGTTAACCAGGTACATCGAGTGCAAGTCCCCGGGCTGCCCAGGTCCCTTTAATCACCCGAGCGTGAGCAGCATCGCGCAGCCCGACGTGTTTCACAGCATGTGCTCAGCGAGGCTGAACTTCTTGTTACACCCACACCTTAATCCTAGGATTTCCCTAACTTTCGAGAGCTCGGTTTTACAGAGTGAACCATTCCCAGACCCTTCCAGCTCCCAGCAACGGGAGGTGCTGCTCCTCTGTTGCGCTAGGACGAAAGGAGGGTGGCAGCAGCAAGATGCTCCGGGGTTTCCCTTTGCAAACAAAACCAGAGCAGGGAGATGGGAAACTTTGCTCCCCACAGGCACTGGGCCCTCTCTCCCCCTCCCTCTCCTTTCCTGGCTGCTCCTCGGCCCCGTCCCCTTCGGTCCCTGCCTCCCCGTCCCTGTCCCCCTCCCCATCTCCTTCTCCAGACCTCCGCATCTTCGAATCCCCCCTGCTTCTGTCAGATCTGTCAGCAGCTTGCCAACAAGGTCCAAAATTACCGCAGGCTCTCATTATCTTGGGAAACGAAGAGAAAATCAGCACAGAGCCACTGCATTCAATGAGCCTTTTTACAACTCTGAACCAGCCTGTGCCGCATTACCCCAACCCCCTTCTGTTCACCCTTCTCAAATGGCTCCTGTGGGACATAAAACGGGGGTCTCAGCAGAAGGACACGGCGTTCCTGGGGAGAATAGGCAGCGATAGAGCAAGTTTGGGCAATACAGCTGGAAACAAGGCACAAACTTCTGCTCACATACAGGGAGGTCCCTCCCGAGCCCTCTCCTGCTTCACACTGGTTTTAATTTATCGTCTCTCCGATCTTACAGTCACACCCAGTTTTGTCATCAGGTCTGTAGCTGCAGCCCGGTTCTTCTGTTGCCGCATGGTATTTAAAACGTAGCTGATCACAGCTGCTGTATGTTATTCTTTTAATTTCCTTTGTTTTAGATTTCTTGCGCCATTAAGCAGTCTAACCTTGGGAAGCACGCGCCCTGCCAAATCCAATAAAGAGCTCGTATTCACCCTGTGCTTCAATCCTTATTTACTGGCCATCAGGAACACATGGGGAAGTGTCTTTTTCATACTGCAACCTTTATTCCTTTTTCAACAAATCCTACTTGTACGGCACTAAACTGTGACTAAATTGGGGAGGAGGTTGCCATGGGAATGTCAGAACCAGAAACCAGGTAGTAAACCATTTCTGCTTTACTACTCCGGCTGATGTCACGGGTGCTCCAGGCAGTAAACAAGCAGGGGAAGCAGGGAGACGTTTTGTACACTAAGCGGCAGAGTTTTGCTTCATCGCCGGAGCCGAGGCAGCCGATCCCAGCTGGAAAACTCCCTTGGTCTACCTACTTACTTGTTTATTGGAAAGTTCGCTGAGCTTTGTACAAAAATCCCCCTCTGGCTCCACGGGAACTGCAGACACCAATGGAGACGTTGCCCAGGGACCAAGGCTTGTGCTGCACACAGACCTGATGTCAGGAGCATCCACAGCCTCACCTCTCTCCTATCTTACTGTCCAAGTGTCCCAGTGATGTACGCCCCACGTATCGGACTGCAAAGAACAGGGAGAAACGTGGAAAAGCCAGCAGAGTCCGACAAAACGTATAGGAAAGCCCTCTGCGCAGCCCTGCGGTCAGCACCTTTCCCTCCAGACTCAGTATCACGATGGAAAGTAGCAGAAAACGCAAAATACATCACACAAAAAGCATCTCCTTGGGTCACGACTGAGTCATTCCTCACGTGAGGGCTTCCTTCCCTAACCATGATAAGGCTTTAATTTGCAATGATGCTGAAACAGTATTATAGTAAGCAGATTTTAAGAAAGTACACAAAAATAGATGTAACTATTTTAACCCAACTAAGAGCTGAGAAATAGGTGCTGCAGCCACTGCACGCTACTGAGCTTCACTGCAAAGTAATACAGCTTCAGGGGGGTTGTTCTCCCTATTTCCCAGTGCAGCAGTATTTCTTCTCAACCGTGCGTATTTTACATGAAGTTGCAGCTTTCCCCGCGGGGATCCAGCAGAAACCAAGCACAAATTCTGAACTGAGCTAAAACTGCCAATTCACAATCCAGATAAATTCACTTTAAAACTGTGGCAATCCAAGGCCATGAAACCATTTACTAAGGAAAGGAGAGAGTAAAATATAAATCATCTTCAGGTATGTGCTGGATCCTACAGGCACAAGCCCCCCTTTATACTCGGAGTATTTCCACTACACAAACGTACTGTAGATATCTAAAATAAAAGAGAACTTAAATTTGCTAATATGACTTAATAAATTGTGGTCAGGCTGCTACAAAAAGAAAACAATATATTATATTCAGACATCTGACATTGCATGGAGTGGGATACCGGATTATTTACTCCCCTTGGAGCTGGCAGATGTACCAGTGCAAGTCTGTTTTATTTCAGTTCGTCTTAAATTCCTCATATAAGTTTATGAAAATAAGCCTGACGAGTCAATCTCTCAAGAAAAGTACTTCTGTTTTGAATCTCTGTTCTGAATCTCCTGCAGAGATTCCCCTCTCAGGCTTTCAAAGATGACCACAAGCCCAGAATTTTTGCACTGCGCTGGAATGTATGGAGGTAACCCAAGCCATGCAAGCTAGACTGAAGACAAGGACCCAGTTCTACGAAAACCTAGAGCGGAGCCCAATGCAGGCTGTTTCCATTTAAATCACTAATTAAAACTACTTTCTAGAGTCAAATTATACATCTGTAAAACTTTACAGGATGGTGCCTCAACGGCCTGTTGCTCCAAGACCAAAATCAAATGTACAAACACATTCAATGTCCTTAGAATCAGCAAAACACCCAAGGATGAGAAGTAGATAATACCCCAGCAGCGAAGAGTGAGGCTCATGCCTGCTTAAACGAAGAGGCTGTAATTAATACAGGAGAGGTACATCCCTGTAACACTGCTGAGCAATGATTTAGGCAAGAAGCAACTTTGAAATGTGCACCTGCCTTCCTGAGTCACTTCTTCAAAGGCAATATCCCTACTAATGGAGCTTGAAAATCGAGATATTCGTAGAGGTAGGACAATAAACCTCGTGTTTGGTGGAAGGTTGTAAAGACAGCATCCCACTGCGGGGAGGAGGGAAGACAGAGGTAAAGTCATCTCTGCTCTAAGAAGAAAGTCACCCTGCCTGGGTCTTGTGTATCCTGAAGACAGTCAAGCCATGAGCCGTGATTTTAAGTTATTTTTCTTTGCTTCTTGCATTTATTAGCAACTTAAGTTTTGATACATTTTGATTTTTATAGCTCTCTTCCTCCAGACCCAGTGAAGTTTTCATGACCCGATGGGTTAAGCACAGCAGCGGGCAGCGAGAGCAGAGCTGGCATTTCTTGTAGTGTCATCCTAGCGTCAGTGACAGCTGAAATTTTTCGGAAAGCTTCAACACCTGGAGTCATGTCATGACGCCTGAAACTCATGACTTTCCATCTCTTTTGATTGAGAGCAACTGGGTTCCCTGTCTTCACAACATGAATTTTTAAGGCCCCAAACCAGCAGCTAGCTAAAAAGGGGCCGACTGCTATTATTTGTCAGGAATCTCAATTTCTAAGCTAGCCCAGTTTTTACAGGATCTGACTTGTGATTTCAGGGTGTTTGCTGTCGGTAATTCTGGGAGAATTCCCCTGTTGCGTTTTGATAGCATCTTGCTGTAAGTGTTCCCAAACAGGCGGAGAGGGAGAGAACCCACGCGGAGGAGCTGCGGTGTTCTGCACTAGTGAAAAACATCATCTTCTGAAAATACCCTGAAGTACTTCAAGCTTAATACCAGGGGCACGTGCTTGATTATAGTATTAACAGAACCTCAGTTTGGCAGCAACTTTTGAAAGGAGAATGGAGATAATATAGTATATCAGTGTATTCACGCCGTGCTGAGTTTCAGGTAAAGACAGTCAAAAAAGAAATATGTACAGACACAGGAGAAATAAAATGTTTACAATTTTCAGAATTAGATTTGAGAAATTAATA